TAAAGCATTGTTGTAATAAGCGATATCCGAGTCTAATACAATGATTAGTTTTAATTTCGCCAAATATAAGTTGATTTGATACTTCCAATGGTATCGTACAATATCATAAACTTTTTTACTTGCTTAAATCGCATATATCAGGAGAAGAATGCTATTTACACAATCTTGAAGTTACATTTATCTACATATTTGCACAAAATGATAGTTAATGTGTCTCAGATTCAAATTCTAATCAAATCATAATGGCTTTCTCAACTTCAGTCTGTTCAAGGAAGTTGTGTTTTATATGCTTTTGTTGGGAAGATAAATTATAAGCAATGTGTTCGGCTAAGGATGAAAATAATAGCATAATCTTAAGGATTAATATTTAAAAGCATATAACATCAATTAAATTTTTTTAATTCTTAGTAAAATTAGTGTATCTTGCTTAAAATACTAGGTACAGATTCACGTATTCAATATGAAATGATCATGCTCAATTTGTATGCAACAATCTTATTGTGTTTCTTTTGTTTAATTCTGTTTGGTAACTATTGCTACCATGATATGGAGAGCACAGACTTTTACATTGTTTTAATTGTGATAATTACGTAATATTAATGGTTAAGTTTGTGACCCTGTTGATGTTGAATAGTTACTATGTGATGCTTGAATGTCTATGCCTGAAACACTTGAAATTGAATCTTGAATACTTCACCTAAGCCATCACTCATCAGCAAGTTTTTTTCCCTCACAACAAGGTTAATTTATTTATTAAAAAAAATTAGAAATAGAAGCATTTGTGACATTTTTAAAATACAATATTTATTATTAAATGAATCCACAAGTGCAAGTAAATGATGTGGATCTCACTTCCTATTTAGTGGACAAAATCAAATCTTTACCTAATAAAAATCCATTCCAGAATCCAAAATTTTATTCAAACCAACCAGGTTACATGGACAAGCGTGATTTCGAGGAAAACAAACACATTATTAATAATAAGTTCTCTAATATTTCATCCTATGTGTATTTTGGGTGGGTTTTCATTTTTTTTTGGTCAACATATGGGTTTTAATTTGAATGCTTTCCTAACCCAGTACTCTCCGGCCTTGAATATTCTATGCTTTCTTCCTCAACCCATTAATTCAGTTTGACTTTTCTAATCTCTCTCTCTATCTCTCACACACACAGAAACAAATAAAATAAGAGAAGTATTTTATTATGGAGAGAAAATTAAAATTAAAATATATAAAAGGTATAATAAGAAATTAAAGAGTAATTTTTATAAAAATAAGATTATTAAATAAATTTTTAGGTCTTGTACATTTTATAGTTTTAAAAGACTGTTGTTTTATACCGAGAAAGTATATTCGCTCTAATTAAGTTGTTTAGCATCTTGAATTATAGCTTGGTTAATTCCAAGTGATATTAAATTTAGTGTCATTTTCCCATTTGGTTCAGCTATAGTCACGAACATCCCTAGTTTACTTCTTGAAGGGTATTGCTCATAAAGAAGCAAGATGTATCATGCAGCCAATTTCCTTCAATCACGTCTGATTATCATTTTGCACTTCAATTGAATCGTTCAACTCTAAAAAAGTGTGTGAGAACAGAGTCAACGTAAGTCAAGCCCCATAGATTGAAGAAGGTGTTTTTCATTACTGAAATACCATCTTTATAAATAATTGATCATTTTAGTTTAGACAATACATCCCTTTTAGGCCTAATGTCAAAAACCCATTCATTTGTACTAATTAGTTAGTATCTCTTTCCTTCTTCTGAACCTCACTCTTTACAAAAATGGGAAATGAAGTGCAACATTATCCATTAGTTGCCAAGCTTTTAAACTCCACATCACACTTCCCCAACCTTCTTCGTTTTCTATTCTTTGTAATAGGTTTGTCTTTTGGTGTCACTATAAGTGTATACTTTAAGATCTTATCATTTAATCTACAAGGGTTCTTTTGTTTGTCACCACTAAGGCCACAAGGTCCACCCCAACTATTGCAGAAGTCTGTACTAACATTACCTCCACAACTACCTAGTGAACTTGCTCCAAATATTCAGCAACTTCTTTTGCATAATAGTATGGATGCCCATGAATTGTTTTTGCGAGCATTAATGGTTTCAAGGAGAAACAAGTTCCAAGGTGAGCATGTACCTAAGATAACTTTCATGTTCTTGACAAAGGGATCCATACCTCTTGCCCCCTTGAGACACATTCTTCAAAAGGCATGAAGGGCTTTATACCATTTATGTTCACACTCATCCTTCATACAATTGGTTAGTGGCAAAGGGTTTTGTCTTTGATGAACTCAGATGATGAGGGTGGTGCAGTAGAGAAATATGAAGGAGAAGTGGACTATTCTCCTGTTGAGGAAGAAAATTACCTTTAAGTCCATGGAAAAGTCCAAAAGAGAGAAGTGTTAGTCCATTTGAATGAGAGATTACGTGGTGCCAATCTAAAAGAAGAAAGACAAAGTCAAGAGGGGATAGAATTGATTGTTGAGTGTCATTTTCATTTTTTGTCATTTTCTATTTTGACTATTATCCAATGTTATTTTCTATTAGTTGGTTACTGCTCATTATCCTATGTGTATAGCTTTACCATTGAGTAAGGGTAACAAGGAATGAAAAGATTTTCTCATTGGAAGGCATGCGAGAATTCTAAAGACAGTGGGGAAATTAATCGATAATTTTTATTGGCCGGGAATCAAGAAGAACGTTACTGAGTATGTTAATAGTTGCAAGGTATGCCAACAAATCAAAATACCTAATCACCCTCCATATGGCTTGCTACAACCATTGCCCATACATTCTAGAATTTGGAAAGATGTAACCATTGATTTCATCATGGGCCTCCCTTCATTCCAAACCTATACTGTGATCCTCGTTGTAGTAGATCGGTTTAGCAAGGCAGCTCACTCTGATTGTCCATCTGTTTGAGAGTGATATGCCGAACTGAGTCGTAACGTCATTCCTAAAGCCTGATGTAAGCTTTTCCAAAATCTTGATGTGAAGCGAGAGTCTCTATCAGATATAATATTCCTAGGTATGCCATGCAATCGTACAATCTCCTTGACGTAAATTCTCCAAAGGATATTTCATGTTTATTGGAATAAAATGGGCAAATTTGGTTAGGCGGTCCACAATGACCCAAATAGCATCATGGCCCAAAGTCGTTCTTGGAAATCCAAACACAAAGTCCATAGCTATATTGTCCCACTTCCATTCAGTAATAGTCAAAGGTTGCAATTGACCGACTGACCTTTGATGTTCCACTTTGGCCTTTTGGCATATCAAACATGAGGCTACAAATTCTGCAACTGCTTTCTTCATTCCTGGCCACCAGAAAGTTTTCTTCAAATCTTGGTACATCTTAGTAGCACCTGGGTGGATATTAAGTTTACTCTTGTGAGCTTCTTCTAACACCAAACGTCTTAAGTTGTCCACGACAGGAACATAAATTCGATTTCTATATTTAGTTAAGCCTCATTCTTCTTGGTGAAGATCAGGTTCCTTCTCGAATCCCTTTGCGAGTTGTTCTTTTAGGAATTTGTCACGTTCCTGGGCAATTCGAACCTGTTCTAAAAATTCATTAGAAATCTTGAGCGTCTCAAGTAGATATTTAGATCTCTAAAGGATTCTATCAATTCTAGTTCCTTAACCATCAAAGAGGACGCATACAGTGCCTTTTGACTTAGAGGGTCTGCCACCACGTTAGCCTTTCCTGGGTGATAATGTAGCTCAAAATCATAATCTTTCAAGAATTTCATCCATCTTTATTGACGCATATTCAATTCTTTATGATCGAAGAGGTATTTCAAACTTTTATGATCACTGAAGACTTCAAATTGAGCTCTATAAAGATGATGTCTCCAGATTTTAAGTCCAAAGACAACAACAGCCAATTCTAGATCATGAGTCAGGTAGTTCTTCTCATGTGATTGCAATTGCCGAGATGCATATGCCACTACTTTCCTTTCTTGCATCAACACACATTCTAGACCTTGATGAGAATTATCGCAATATACTTCAAATTTCTTGCAAGGGTTAGGAAAAATCAAGATTGGCGCAGAAGTCAATCTATTCTTTAGCTCACAAAAACTAGTTGCGCACTTCTGATCCCATTTGAAAGGCTAGTTCTTATGAGTCAGACGAGTCAAAGGAACAAATATCTTCAAGAACCCTTCATTAAAACGGCGATAATAACCAGTAAGTTCGAGGAAACTTCAAACTTCAGTAACCATTTTGGGTGGATCCCACTGCAACACAGCTTCTACTTTTGAAGGGTCTACTGCAATACCGTCTTTGGAAATCACATGTCATAAGAATTGTACATTTTCTAACCAAAACTCACATTTTAAAAACTTGGCGTAGAGTTGCTTATGGCATAGGATTTCCAACACGATCTTCAAATGCTCGGCATGCTCCTCATGGTTACGGGAGTAAATAAAGATGTCATCTATGAAAACGACCATAAATCTGTCTAAGTAGGGGTGGAAGACACGATTCATGTAATCCATAAACACTGCAGGAGCATTTGTCACTCTAAAGGACATTACTAAATATTCATAATGACCATAGCGAGTTCGAAAAGCAGTCCTCGGAATGTCCTCCTCTTTAACTCTAATCTGATGGTATCCCGATCATAAATATATCTTGGAGAATATTGTGGCTCCTTTCAGTTGGTCCATGAGATCATCTATTCGTGGCAATGGGTACTTGTTCTTTATGGTCACCTTGTTCAATTGTCGACAATCAATACATAGCCGCATGCTTCCATCCTTCATTTTAACAAGTAAGACAGGAGCTCCCCATGACGAGACACTAGGTCTTATGAATCTTTTTGACAGTAATTTCTCTAATTGCTTCTTTAACTCAACAAGTTCAGTAGGAGACATTCTGTAAGGTGCCATGGAAATAGGACCAGTGCTTGGCATCAGATCTATAGAGAATTCAATTTCTCTTACGGACGGTAATCTTAGAATATCATCTAGAAATACGTCAGTAAAACTTCAAACAATTGGCAATTTATCCAGAGGAGGGTTGTCCTTGTTATCTTTAGAGGCGAGAATCATGAACATCTGAGTTGCATCCTTCTTGGTCACGCTCACAGTTGAGATTTTTGAGCCATCTAGATTACTATCCTCAACCTTGTCATTTTGAGGGTTGAGGATTAAGGTTCTTTTTTGACAGTCTATTAAAACACGGTTGACTGAAAGCCAATCCATTCCTAAAATAATATCTATTTCAAAAAGAGGCAAACAGATGAGATTGACAAGGAAAACTTCGTCGATGTGGAGCGGGCAATTCAAGCAAATGCAGTGTGCAATCACAGAACTATTTGTAGGTGTGGAAACAAGAACATCACATTTCATCAGGGAAGTAGGTAAACCTAATTGTTTCACATAAGAATCAGAAATAAATGAGTGGGTTGTAACAAAATCATACAACACATTTAAGAGAGTTCCGTGCATGAAGCACTTACCACGTATTAAGTCATATGATTGAGTAGTCTCCACACATTCATAGTAAACACCCTGCCTTTTGTATTTGGTCGTTCATAAGGAACTTTAGAAGGTCCATTGGAGTTACGGCTACACACACTACTTCGACCATGTTCATTCCCTCCACTTCGGTTCTGGTTCCCGCCATTATTTCTAAGAAATCTCCCCTTATTTTGTGGACAGTAACTACTAAGATGACCTCGTTATTGGCACTTAAAGCATATCATTGGATCACGGAAACACATCCTTTTTAGATGTGGTCTGTTACAATTGTTGCATCGAATGTTTGAATGATTCACGCTCCCCACACTGGATCCTTGATTCCCTGAGAAATTGTTCCCTCGAAAGCGGCTAGGATTGAAATAAGGCTTGCGTTTCTCTTGACTTTCTCTCCCTCTGGAGTTCGAAGCATTTACTTGTCGCGGAGGTCCAGTACCTTTCCAAGACGCTTGATATGCTTTGGTGTCATCTTCAAATATTCGGCACCTATCTACTAATGTTGGAAAATGAGTCACCTATTGAAAGCTGATGGCTTGTTTGATGTCGGGCCTAAGTCCACTTTCGAATTTTGAACATCGGGACCTATCATAAGCTTGAGTAAAATACGGGCAATACCTGGACAACTCATCAAACTTTGCAGCGTATTCGCCAACACTCATTCTTCCTTGTCGCAGATTGAGAAATTCTTGTTCTCTCCTCCTTCTTATATCCTTTGGGAAGTACTTTTCCAAAAAGTGACGACGGAAGGCTAACCATCCAATATGAGTTTCTTTCACCTCTAGTTGTTGACGCGCAAATCTCCACCAATGTTTGGCTTCTCTGATGAGCATGTACACAACATACATGACTTTCTCTTCATCAGTACAAGCCATTGCTTCAAAAATCTTTTCTAGCTCTTCTATCCAGAGCTGGGTACCATCAAGATTAAATCCACTATGGAATTGAGAAGGCTTGTTCTTGCGAAACTCGGACAATCCACGGTTTGGGGTAGATGTATTTTGTCGTTCTAAGACGTCTACTATTCTTTCAAACAGGGCATCGATCACTTTGTCCCTTGGTCGTCTAGCCATGAGATTCTGAAAATTTAAGGTAGATACATTAAATCAAAAGAATATCTCATGCTAACATGACAGAGCAAATAACAGTCCATTATATAAGCTAAAAAGTTCTCAATTATCTTAGCTGCGTAAAATCGGGTAAATTTGGCCATGCCCAAAGCCAAATAGACCGAACTACTCTGATACCACTTTAGTTGTGACACTCTAACGTCACAGACTTCAACCATAGTAAATGTGTATCTAAGGGCATAATACTTGATCGTAATATCACATATAATTTTGTAAATATAGGAGTTAACGTACATAACCAAATATTTATTTAATTACTCGTATTTTAAATGTGCATTATCCGTGATGTAATCAATCTGAATGTAATTTAAAGGCTAAACTAATTTGTCAAGCGAAATTTAAAATTAACTGATTCACCATACGTAGTCACAAACATAGTTCATTTGGAGAATCAAAGAAGATAAAAGAGATTCCAACACATGTCACACCCCTGGGAAAACATAACTATACATTATCCAAAGCATTCAAAAAGTAACTACCAATCCCCATATCAATTTTTTCAAAATTCCCATCGTGCAAAAAAGAAAAGGGACACCTATATGGATATACATAACACCAAGTCAATCTAGAGGAATATACTCCTCTGAGGATCAGAGTCAGGTGAAGTAGAGAGGGTAATGTCTGGGTCGGAAGGCACACTGGGCAGGTCCTCGTCTACATCTTCCAGCCAGCTGACAGTAGGTAGAGGTATGTGAGAGTATGGAGAGGACAGGGGTGGTGAAGGACTACAATGTGAGGGTCTGGCCTCATCAATTGGTGGCAGTCGGCAGGGTGAAGTAGGAGGGCGAGGTCTAACAAATGACTCAATCACTTGAATATCCACACACTCAGGCTCAACGGGAGGAGGGGAAGAGGGTCGAGGTACATAAGAATCGGGGGTACTGTTTGGGATAGGTAAGGGAACAGGAATATCAGCGTCTATGGAAGCAGGGGCAACCACAGGTGGAATGAGAGGGAATGGTATACTGGTAGTATACAAAGGTAGAGAAAAAATAATCTCAACATGCATATCTGTGATACAGCGGGTCTCCCAACCCACCTTAGTAACTGACCCAAGAGTCATCCTGGCGAACCCTTGGTAGATCGTCTGCTGGGTGGTATCATCGTAGATCCACAAGTCATCCTCGGTTGGGAGTACCGACACCTTCATCATCTTGGAACCCATCTGCACACAGTTTACATAATGCACCAAACAAACAGACATACACCACAAAGAAGAAAACAAAAAAAGAAAAGAAAGGGTGAGTCCATAATATCAATCAAAATAATAGAATACTCATAAAAGAAATACTTTAAAAGTAAGGCTATCAAAGGATTAATGTTGCATTAGAAGTAAGATAAAACGAAATTCACTAATATTCATAAATGAGACGATGCATGATGCAAGTAATTTATGGAGGTTACTTCTTCTTTTATGATAATTTCTTGTTGTCATATAATGCATGGGGATCTCATGTACCAATTTTCATTTAATTCACTTTCAATCTCAAGGCGATCGGAGGACTCCATTCCCTACTATCACATCCAGCATATTCAAAGTTTTATGATAATGGTCAATCCTACACTTCACGAGTGTCGTTCAGGAATGGGCCTACTACAATCCTTGTAACGAGTGTTCACGTCAAGCTTGACAAAAGTTTGCTGACGACGTGATCCGGTCATAGTGAGCTACTTTGCACCATTGGGTCATCTCCCTTTTTACCACCCTCAAGGTTTGTCATTGATCCTAACACAAGCGTTTCCCAGTTGTGCCAACTGTAGTCTTAAGTCAATTTCTCTTTAACAAGTATGATGCATGAATATGTCATAAGTCTTAATTCGTCTCTTTACTTTATCCTTACAAGTTCTAGTTGAGTCAACGTAATAATCATATCACACTAAGTCAGCAGACTAAGTCATTTAAAGTTAAATCCATTCTCGTTATATTACATTGTATGATCCCTTTAATTTTACAAATTCTTGAATTAAAGGTCTCCTAATCATTTGAGAATACTTACTAGTCACAGAATTCACATAGTTTATTCATTATTTTATTTTCCATTTGTTAATTTATGAAACTAGGATTAAACTATGTTAGGAACTATCCAATGGAAGTCTATGTTTTCTAAGGCTTTCAGACTCAAAATTTTTGGTCATTTATTTTCATGGCTACACTATAATTAATATTAAACTAACTAACAAATAAAGGACTATTATTAATAGCCAGAAAATTTATTGGACCCTTATATATATATATATATATTTTTTTTTTCTCGACTCTGCATTTGTGTCTTTGAAGTTCACTTTGCTTTCCTTATCTTACTCACTATTTTACACCTAAAATTAAAAAAAAAATTCGTGGCATATACGTACATATATATATATATATATATAAACGTTTTTTTTTCTCTCTTTCCTTTAAATTATTATTATTATTAGCTCCTAAGGTCTATCTCTAATTTGACCCTGTACTATTCCCATCCAATTGTAATTTGTCCTTAATTTGGTTTCTATCAATCTGCACCTATTCTCCCAAACTCCCATTATCCAGCATCATTGACGCCTTTTCCAATAATACAATATAATCGTATTTTATTACTATTGTATATTCAATTTGTCTAGTACCTCAATAAAAAAAAAAGACATTAATTCACATAACACGTGAAACATAAAACAATTCTTTATTCAATTTGTTTCCTTATCTACAACATGAATATTCTTCACGAATTAAGTTATACTTAAACAACCACCAATGGGAAATAGAGAAGGAGAAATCTGCATGCACACAGAATAATTATCACAATACAAAAATCTTTGCTCACAGTACAACCAAGATCATTTAGCATGTTCATCCACTCCACCATTTAATTACTTAATTTTTGTCATCTCATAACAAGCACATTTTGTAGCACGGTTCTCCACATGCAACGATGAAGTCATGGAGCTAATGGATTTTACTAAATCTGGTTTATATCTTTATGCCTCACTCTCTCTTTCTTTCTCCAATAAAAAGACGACTTTATCAATTCTCATGCAAAAACTTTTAACTAAACATGCAATAAGATTTAATAAGTTTTTGGTAATATGGACCCCCCTTACCTACTAACAAGGATTGTATGACAGAGGGAAAGATATTGTTGTGGTGAACTTCAATTTAATTGGCTGCAAACCTTGATGCAATCTTTAGGAGCGACAGAATAAGAGGGTACAATGTAAGAAGAGTTTGTATGAGAGGGGTAAAGGAAACTAAGAGTTCGTGGCTAGTTACGCTTTTTATTTGGTGAGAAATTAATAGCTACATTATATTCCTCCTTTCTCACTTCTTTTGTCCTTTTTGTCAATTTAACTTCTCATTCTTATTTGTATGCAGAATACGTCAAATTTAGGCTTCTTCTAATGGCTTCCGTCTAGCAATTAGAATATCTCAAGAGTGTAGTGCAGTAGTACCTTAAGTTGATGGGACTGTGAGCAACTCATTGAGGATTCCAAGGTCACTCATCTTGTATGTGTGTTTAGTGAGCAGTTGGATTGTAATTATAGATCCATAAGGGTGCGACATAATGGTCATTTCAGGACCGAACTAAGGTGTTCATGTGGCGAGTATATGGGCAAAAGAGGGATATGTTTTAAGAGTAGGTGAATAGGGCATTAATTGTAAGATCAACACTCCATTCCACCAAGATTTAGAGTAGGACTTTTGCTTGTTGCTTGCCACACATCACGCAAGTGCAGGAGTTGGCTACTCAACCTAACCGAGAGGAAGGGATAGTAGAGTACACGTGCAATACCAAGGGATAGACATTCAAACTCATGCCATGCATAAATAGGACAGGGGTTGGGGTAATTTGGGTTGCGTTATACGTCCACAAAGGAAGGGAGACACATCTTAAGGGCAATTTTCACAAAGTAGTTCAATGATGTTAGGATTCCTTTCCTTAAAAGTAGTAACCCCTCAAAATTTAGTTGTAATTCTTATCAAAGTAACAACTTACCTTCTCCTTATAAATTGTATAATCACTCATCATACCATAGGTCGTATGAAGGAATGTAAATTTGCTTGCATAATAAACTAAAAGTGCACATGTACAACTACTATTAGGAATTTGAAGTAAGAAAAATAAAATAAAATGAAGCATTGGGTAAGAAACCTTAGGTGGTATTAACATAGTGAACTATGGATACAAACGACCCCAATCATGTTTTAAAATTTAAGATAATTACGAATAAAGGTAACTAAAACATAAAAGAAATCGCATAAAAGTAAAATTTGACATATATATATATATATACTCATACATGCATGAAGGGAGTGGAAACCTCAGGGTGTTACATTCTATATTGGGCTGAGTGGCACTATAATTCTGCATTCCAAACAGCAGCTGGGATGAGCCTTTATCAAGCTGTATATGGTAAACCTCCTTCTTCATTGCCTCACTACATTGCTGGTTCAAGTGAGATAGAAGCTGTTGATCACGAGTTGTCCACCAGGGAGCTAATTTTGTCCAAATTGAGGCGTAATTTACAAAAGGCACAAGACACTATGAAGGCCTCTGCAGATGCTCACCGAATTCCTCATTCATTTCATGAAGGTGACTTGGTGCTGGTCCGCCTGTGACCTTACAAGCAAAGCTCAGTTTCAGGAACAAAGAGTAAGAAATTGACCAAGAGATTATGGGCCATTTCGAATAGTGAAACAAATTAATGAAGTGGCATTTGAGTTGGGACTTCCCCTAGAATCACATATTCATCCTGTGTTTCATGTCTCAAAACTCAAGGCCTTCTGTGGAAACGATGATGACACGTGTAACGCCCCGAATATTTGTAATATTGATTACTATATATATATATATATATATATATATATATATATGTGTGTGTGTGTGTGTGTGTGTGTGTGTGTGTGTGTGTATGTGTGTGTGTGTGAATGGATGTTAGAGTGTGCACTTGATTGCATGATAATGATG